ACTATACGAGGTGCCAGTAGATCCCTGGCTCCCGGGATGGTGACGCCAAGTGAGTCCCTTTTGCGCAGTAAGATCCATCTCCACCACAGGCAAAGACGGGAGGATCGTCCGCGGGGCGTGGGTTGAGTGCTAAAATTTTGCCATTGCGGTTGCTTGGCTCTGAACCTGGGGCTACCTCTGCCTGTATACACAGGCTTTCGGAGTTGAAAGCTTGTCTAGAAGCGAGAGATTGACCCCCAAGATGAAGTCTAAACCCTGAACCCTCAACCCCCTCAACAACCCCAAAACCCTGCAGCCTAAACTCCTGAGTTTTTTTGTCTCGCTCTCGCTGTTCTTACGACTACAACATACCCAACATGAACCCCCCACAACCCTAAACAGCCCTGATAACTTGTCCGGCGGCTGAACGGAGGTCCGCTGACACGATTCACATCGGCCCGGGCCTCTCGCGCTCTAGGGAACACGGCTTCGGAACAGCAGCTTAGGGCTTAGAGTTTAGGGTTTAAGGTCAGGGTTTAGGATTTAGGGTTTCAGGCTAGGGTTTGGGGTTTGCGTTGGGTTTAGGGGTTTTTCGGTATAGTTTCGTTCTTTCCGACTGCCAAAGCTGAGTTGTTATAGTTAATGCAAGAACACTCCAAATAGAATTGCACTTTTTGTTTGAGCCATGCAACGTCGAAAGTCAGCTTGACATAGTGACAACTACAATCAAAACACCCCCGGCGGCAGCGAAGAGAGGCGGAAGTAGAAGTACTAGCGATTACACAAACATTGCGAATGAAAGCAACTCTTGGACCGGTGTTTACGCTTAAAGCGTAGCAGAGCTCGTAGTCAAGAAAACAAAGATCATCACACAAAGGCGGTGCCGCCATTCAGGTCAGCCCTTTACAAGGACCGTCCCTTCTGGGAGGCAAAATGCGGACTAGGAGTAGATAAACTACCCTTACCAGTCCGACCGCACTCAGTATAGCCGACTCCGTTCTGAGTGTCTTTCCAGCCAGCGAGGTAGTAACTGACGTGCTCGGGGGCCAAGAGCAAAGAATCATTGGGATGACTGCATCCCGCACGGGACAGAGAAGAGCATCATGTCTCGTGAAGTACGAAGGCCGCGGCTGGGATGGGTCGATCGGGTTCCCCCTCCGGTCAATGACATACTGGGAGGCAGGTGTCATAATCCTTTCCCACAACAAAGAATCCGTAGGAGCATCAATATCCGTAGGAGAAAGAACGGGATCATTCACTGCCACGATAGCACTCGGCTCACGACTGCTTACATGTTCTCGATCTGGAAGCACAACTTCAGTACCATCCTCTGTTGGCATCGTGATATCGGAGATACCAGTGTTCACAGATGCGGGGTGTTCCGCCATTCCGGCGTTACCTGCAGGATTTGTGGAGCAACCTGGGTATGGCTCGAGTAGGCTACGGCTGACAACCTATAGTTAGTGCACGAACGCACCAAATGGGACTGCACTTTTTTGCTTGAGCCATGCAACGTCGGACGTCAGATAGACATAGTGACAACAACAATCAAAACAATTTTGGGTTTAGTGTTTCATGAACCATGAATGTTGAAGTGCACAATAACCCGAAACAATTGCAGGTTAGTACGGTCTATTAAATCGGGAGCCAAGATCCTGAAGCATCCCTAAACCCTAAATCCTAAATCCCTAAACCCTGAATCCTAAACCCTAAATCCCTAAACTCTAAACCTTAAACCCCAAATTCCTAAACCCTAAACCCGTAAACCCAAAACAACCTAAATCTCTATACCCCAAAACCGTAAGACTTAGATAGTACTCTTCGGGAAGGAAGAACAAACCCCACAATCTATACCAGAATCTAAACCCTAACCTATATCAGAATCTAAACCCTAACCTATATAATCTAAACCCTAACCTATAGCAGAATCTACACCCTAACCTACATCAGAATCTAAACCCTAACCTATATCAGAATCTAAACCCCAACCTGTATCAAAATCTAAGACTCTAAGAAAATGCCAGAATCTAAACCCTAACTCGACCCAGGAAGGGTTTGGGGCGTAGGGTTTTAAGTTTAAGGCTTTAGGGTTTGGAGTTTAGGGTTTTAAGGCTTATGACTTGGAGGCTAGAATCCTTCGGGAGGTCTTAGGTATTGAACTGTATGATTTGGGATTTCGGGTTTAGAGTGTAGGGTTATAGTCCCTCGAGTTTGGCAATTTTCGGCAGCGAAAGCCGCCCCTTGTTTAGGCTTCCGACCGAAGGTCGAGGTTCCAACCCGTTTGCATTGCGACATGGACTTGGAACGCTCTTTAAGCACAGGAGACAACTCAACCCGCATCGCTCCACATCGTCACAGAGAGTTGAAGGTTTTAGAGGGCTTGCTGCTTAGCGCCTAGGGCATAAGGGCTTAGGGTTGTAACCTTAGGCTTCGGGGCATGGGCCCATCCTTCTTCACTTCTGCCCCCAACTGGCGCCTCCCCTGTGACAAGTGCCCGTAAAAACGGATAGCATGGGCTACACCATGTCTTCTAGTCTGCACTCATGTCAGAAGGGACCTGCACCATGACCTCAACGGCGCGTGCGCTGGGACACCAACCTCGGAAAAAGATGTGGATTTAGGCTTGGCTAGGGTTTCAGGGGATCCAGATTTGGAAACCCTCAACCTTAGAATCCTGAACCCTGTCCCTAGACCCTAAACCCTCAACCTTCCAATCCTAAACGCTGAACCCCAAACCTCAAAAGCCCAACCTTCGGAGGCAGCGTCGAGCCCCAGAAGGAGTGTGGTGGAAGCCGCGGGCACTTTGCTGTCGAGGATGCAAGTACAAAGCCCCCTGTATGTGTATGAGTGTATGTGTTTATAGATACAGATATATATATATATACACATAGAAGTTTTGTAAAAATATGTATCTACAGAATTGAATAGCTCTCTCCGAAGACAACTGGATGATAGATTGAGAGTCTGAGAAGAAGATGTGGCAGTACTTCGGAGCGACACATTCGGGCAAAACCCGAGGCACCCAACGCCAGAAACCGGAATAGATCCTGCTCTTGGCTTCAAAAATTATGACGATGAACCCGAAACTCGAACATTCAACTCATGCGTCCGAGAAAACATAAGCCGAGCCCTTATAACCCCAAACAACCCCCAACAACACCGAACCCCTGATGCAAAAAGCCAAAAAATATGACAAGACTCTCCGTCAAGAAGCAAGACAAAGAAGCCCTAAACCCTAAACCCAACCACCTCTCCACCTGAAGAAAAAAAAACCTGCGGGGTCAAGGAGCCGAGAGCGCAGGAGGAGGGCCCAGCGTCCTCGTTGGGATCCGACCGAAGCTGTAGGAGCCTCGAAGTCCCCAAGTTTCAAGGAAAACTGTCGAGCCTCTCGGGTTTAGGGTTTAGGGTTTAGGGGTTTAGGGTTTAGGGGTTTAGGGTTTAGGGTTTTAGGGCCGGGGCTAAAACCTAAAACCCTGAACCCTGTGCCTGGAGACACCCTAAACTGCCAAACCCGAACCCTATCACCGAAGAAGCTGTGAAGCCTAAGCCCTCTAAGGGCCTGTTTTAGGCCTCTCGACGCCAAGGCGCAACTCCAGCGGCTCGGTGCTGTGACGACTCCGTACCACCCTTGGGTGGGGAGCATACAAGGGGAATCCAATACATCAATAGAAGACACAAATAAACCAGACCAAAGTAGATGAATGAACATAGCTTGAGAAGCAAAGGACGCCTAGCAAAATACAGTCGAAAGTGCTTCGCGGATTCCTTTTTCCGTGGCTAGTGCAGCCCGACAAACGTGTTGGAGTCGCTTGTCGCAAGAGGATCATGGTTCGGGGGGAGGTTTTCGTTTCGGGCTGAGGGTGTTAGGGTCTAGGGATTTAGGGTACATACGGGGTTTAGGGTGTTAGGGTCTAGGGTTTTCAGCTACCAATACGGCACTTTGGCAGCAGTGTGGGTTCCTGCTTCTAATCGAGATGTCTGTTTTGCTCCGTGTGGCCCCTTAAGGTTGAACTTCTTCTGGGCTCTGCTTATTCGTTGCATGATCCCCCTAAGCCCTAAACCCTAAACCCTACGTTGCATGATCCCCTAAACCCCAAACCCTCCCTGCAGAGCCTCCGAAGACTTCAGGTTCCACGCCAGTTTCAGGCAGGGTGACCATAGTGAGACGTCAGAGCTTAGCACCTTGACCCTCAACACTACTGCTGATGATTTACATCTAAACTAAGGAAAGTATATCCTGTACTCTGCGTAATGCAGGATTTATAACATCAACCGTATCACCTAATAACCCCCAATAACCCCAAAACTCGCAAGGCCTAAAGCCCAAACAGAGGAAGCAGTTCGCCAAGGAGCGCTAGAAAAAGAGGCGTGAAGTCAGGACCGATCCCAACTTCGAACATTTCTTTGGCCCTGGGGGGTATTCGGGTGTTAGGGTATACTGGGGCTGAGGGCGAGTTGGAGGTTTCAAGGACCGTTTCAAGCGGGGGCTTAGGACAGGACAGTTGCGCAGTTTTGGGGTTTTGGATTCGGGGATCGGCAAGGACATTGGGGTTCAAAGTTGGAGCTATCGCTCTGGGCAGCTGGGGCATAGGCAGGGAAACTGCAAGGTTCACACTGCAGAGGCCGGAATCACTAGCACTTATCCATACAATCCCATAAGATCGGTTTAGGGTTTATAGGGTTTCTGGTGTACTATCCGTCATATCCCAGAAGTATACTCTTCGGTGTCCTGGTTGTCAGGGAGGCTCGGGCGTCGAAAAGACGACGCATCATCCTCGAATGTGCCATGGGTGAAGGGTCTTAAGGCTTAGCGTTGCCATTGCTGGCTTCCGGCGCCAATCAGGCTTACAGTCGAATCCAGCGTCTTTCCGGATCGAGGGCACTAAGAAGACTACACTGACCTTGGCACCCTGCTGCTTCTCAGGGATTATAGTAACTGTTACACTATGGCGGACAGTTCCGCTTTTTTTCCACACGCTACAGCGAAAACTCGTGAGCCTTCGAGGAGCGAAGCAATGCTTTCAGATGCTCAGCCTTGCAGGAACATCCCTCTCTCTGCGGATCGGCATGCTATACAGACCTGTGCTTGCATCTTCAGATTTACACTGCTTCAAAACAAGTTTGCCCTCTTTGACGGGCAAAGAAAGTTGGCCGCAAGCTGGCCACCAGTCTGATGCGCTCTTCGGTTTCGTTAACACATCAGCGCGTTGCAGATGAGTAGGCACCCAAACCAAAGGCACTCGACTGTCTTCGACATCGGCCCTTTCATCATCAAGGCTCTGTCTCAAACATGCAATGTCGATAGCGAGCCGGCGATCCGATGGTGTGCGGGGCAGACCGTCCTTGTGCATGTGATCGAACAGTGAGCGACAGTCCGTTACTGCTAGAAGAGGAATCCCCTTTCCCGCATCTCTCGAGACCTTGCCCGTCAGGAAGGAGTCGAACATGGCCCTCACATACTGTGCAAGCTCGATCCCTTCGATACACCCCATGGTTTCAGCCCCAAACGTCGATCTACATACACGATCACAAGCGTGGGAGCGCCACTCCAGGATACTTGACACTGATCCCGAAGGGCCAAGAGCGTCTTTCCCGTGAACCATCACCAAAGCCCCGAGTTGGGAAGCCACCGAAGAGTTCTTCTTCTTCGTCTTGCGTTTCTTGTTGACCCAAGGTCCTTCTTCGATGGTTCCGTTCTGTTCATCCTCGCTGTAGAGGAAGTAGACGGGGTCGGCGTTCGAGTCAGGGGCATTGCTCCAACCAGCATCATGGAACACGGTGAAAACGATCTCGTTCAAAGGGACCTTGGCAAGCAGGATTCCTTCGTCCTTGTGCAGCAATGCCCTCCGTGCCATCAAGTTTGAGAAACGGAGGTCGCCGACATTCGGCTTTGCTTGAAGCTGCTGGCACATCGACACCCCACAAGCTAAATCCGGCCTCGATTGGGACGCCAGCCAAGACAAGGCTCCAACAAGAGAACGGTTGTCGGCGATCTGCTCCGGGTCGGCCAATACATCGTCTGCCAAGGATGAGCTGACCTCTACCTCGAACAAGCGGTTTGCTGCGTAGGAGGATTGCGACACAAAGATCCCCTCCGGCTTGGTCTCTATGTGGGACCCGATGAAGTCGAAAACATCTTGTTCCCACTCATCGACAGGAAAACACAAGGAAAGCTGTCTTTGCACCAAATCGCGGACGCCCTTCTCCGCCACCAGGAGGATGTCATCGACATGAACGGCTGCATAGCAAAGGGGAGCTCCACTTCCTCGCATTCCTTCATCATCCAGCTCCACCAACTGGAAGACGCAGGGGTCCAAAGCCGACGCATAGAACTTGGCCTTCTTGTCGTCGCATAGTATGATGGTGAGTTCCTGGATGTCCTTCTTGAACTTCTTCCACCACTTCCTCGGGCTGTCGATCAGTCCGAAGACCCCCTTCTCCACCTTGATGAGCTGGTCAGGGTGGAGCCCAGGCAGGCCATGTTTTGGCTGCCTCAGGTACAGCTCCCGGTCCAATCTCTCCCCATTGAGGAATGCAGCGGTGACGTCTCCGGCAGAAACTCCCCAGTTCTCATCTGTTCTGGAAGCCGCTATCTGTAAGAGGCACATCACCGCTGTCCTTGACACAGTGGGGGAGTCCGTCCGGAGCGCTCCGGAAGCAATGTCAGGATCTGTATGGCCTGACACTACTAGTCTTGACTTGGCCTTCCATTCCACCGAGGCATCGGCCCGTCTTCTTGCCAGATTTTTATCGCGGTATGCGAAACGTGATGACAAGATCCGGCCACAGCCCTTCTTGTCCAGGCTTTCCTTGAGGCTCAAAGGACGCAGTGCACCAAGTCGTAGGTGTTCCTCCCACTGCTTGTGCTCTGCCTCGATAAACAACTGGCGTTTTGATTCCGGGATCATATTCCACGGAATCTCCTTTTCCAGTTGCTTTTCGCGGCCTCTTCTCGTAGAGGCTCGTTTTAACAAGTAGGCCTCCTCCGCCCTCTTGGTAGAAACTCTCCTCCTCACCGCTCTCGGAAGATCGTCTCCAGGTGCCTCACGTCTCGTTCCAGCGGCTCTCTGTTCTGGTAGATCGCCGTTGTCCAGCTCCATGTTCGCCGCTCCGGTCTCGTCTTGGCTGTTCTCCGGCATGGAAAGGTCGGCGAGGATATCGTCGAGGAAAGCCTGGTCCTCCTCGGGGGCGCCGTCTCCGGGGAAAACCTCTGGATCGTCGTAGTTGTTCTCAACGAGGCGTAGTAGATCGTCCTTGGTAGCGCGCAGGGCAAACAAGCCACCGACCTCTTCAGGTAGAGCTCGACGTAGATGTTCGGGTGCGCACAGATAGCAGCGACCACCATGGCTCACCCAATAGTTGTCCTCTTGGCGTCCAATGATAGTCCCGGGACCTTTCCAAAGACCGTTTTTCTTGTTTGCTGGCTTTCTCCAGAACAGCACCATGGAACCATTCTCAAGGTCTCTGGGTTTGACCCGGGCCTTTTGCGACATGCCCCGTCTCACTTTGTCCTCTGTACGGACCTGGTAGAAGGCGATCCTTGCTGCGTTCCGAATCGCTTCACGGCGTCGTTGGGCGTCATCGGCTGTACGTAGAAGCTGTCCTCCACCTTCTTCCACCTCGAATTGTAGGTCTGCTTCGTCCCTAGGGTTCTTCCCAAAGACGATCTGGCACGGAGCCCAGCCACAACGTCGGCGTAGATTGTTTTTGGCCGAAGAGGTGGCGCCAATCGCCTCCTCGGTCTCATCTCCACGAACTGTTTGTTCCTGCACCACCCGGGCAAAGATCTCTTTCCACCATTTGCCATGTCGTTCGGTAAATCCTGACTGCCAATGTGCCTGTCCAGCGCTTGTCCGGAGCTCGATGTGGTACCAGTCGGCGAGTCGTCCAAAAGCATCTTGTATTCCTCGCTCCAAATCCAGAGTGATCACCTTGGGCGCGCCGAAGACCTGAACCCAATTCTTGAGGAACGTTTTCTCGAGGACACTCCCAGTTTGCTTGGTCACCTGCACCACCACTTGGTACGAGGAGGCGTGGTCCACCATGGAGAACAGTTTGATCTTCTTCCCGTCCACGTCGTAGGCGTACATCATATCGACTCCGACCACATCTCCGAACTCCAAGAGTTTTGGTTCTGCTGCGGGACGGGCGCTTTTGGGACCCTTCATTCTCGCACAAGTAGAGCACTCCAGACTTTTTGCTGCCTTGATGACATCTCGGTCCGCGCCGGCGTGATGTAGATGCCTCACCAGATCTTCTCGGGCCGGATGTCCCAAGTTCTGATGGAGCCTTCGGAGTGCCGCCGCCATATCGGAAGGCACCTTCTTGTCGAAAGTGATACCTGCAGCACCTTCGTGTAGACGATCAATCTCAGCTTGTCCTCTTTCATCTCCTTCACCTTCAGCAACGTAGGCCTCATGCGTCGCACCCCGGGTGGTCTTGAAGAACTCAGCCTCGTCGACGAGAACCCTGTTGACTTGTCCAAAACTCTCCATCTGCAAACGTACTCGTCGTTGTTGATCATCACCAGAAGGTACAGGAACGAATAATGATCCGAGGTGTTGCACTTGCCATCTTCCACATATGTCGAGAACCTCGAAGAATTTCCTTTCATCATAGGGGTTGCTGCCAAAAGGCGGGTGTAGCCATAAAGAAGACGGCCTCCAACGGAACAGCAGGTTCATCACGAAAGTGCCGGGATCGATGGAGGGTACGTCTTCCCATCGGAGGGGTTCTGCGGAGAGACACTCGAAGGATGAGGTCGCCTCCAACGTCTGATTCATTCCTCCGATTTCCAAGAGAGCCACCGAAGTCGCCGAGGATCTAGTATCGGCGTTGTTCTCTGTCCAAGCAGCCGAGGCCGAAGTTATTGATGCCAAAGACCAGGTGATGAAGGCACTGGCACGGGTAGCGGACCTCCAAAGCTCCTTCCTGGCGCTCCTCCTTGGTTTACAGGACCTGTTGCATGATTCTGGCTGTCGTTGTTCTGTTTCACGAGGAGGTTGGAATGGCGGAGGTACAAGCCGTTTCCTGTCGCGGTCGAGGTGTCGAAGATCATGAAGTTGGAACCCCCATTGACGTAGCCGACGTCGTTCTCCCTGAGTACTTCCTGCCAGACCACGAGAAGTAAAACAGGTTATAGACCAGCGATTTCCACCACTCCACGGTTCGGCGCTGTGTAGTTTGTCCGCACTGAAGGATATGACTTTTCCTTTTGCATCTGACACAAACCCTTTCACCGGCCGCTCCTTGGGATCCACGAAGGTTGCCGACCGCGTTGACGTAGAAGCTTCCTTACCCTCTTGCCAAAGTCCTCCTCCAAGAGAGAAACCTCCGGCGGCGGTCAGGTAGTTCAGGGTGCCCTTCAAGTTGTTGTAGTCTGCGTGGACTGTGGGTTTACAGTTGAAGGCCAAAGATATCGAGCTCCATTTTGCTGTGGGGTCCTTGTCGAGGAAGTAGTTCTTCAGGTAGAGGCATAGAGAAGCAAACTTCGAGGTATTCGCACAGATGCCCCGCATATTCCCATAGGCATAGTAACCAAGGACAAGCTTATGATCCCCCGAGTCCTCGGGGCCCATCGCCTTGGGTCTGGCTTTAGCACCACGTCGTGGAAAGAACTCACCGTTGACGCCGAAGATCTCCTCGAGGATGTTGTTGAGGGTCTCGTGCTTGTAGTCATTGTTTGCCACCGCTAGGGATATCTTCTTCTCTATGCTCTCCGAAAGAAAGACCTCTGCCCCAATGTTGTCCTCCTCAAGCTCGGACCACTGTTCGAGGTCATCCTCATCATCGGCCGGGTTGATCACCACCTCGCCTTCGTTATCGTACAGGTAGTCCGCGGGTGATCTCGATGTGCTCTCTTCTTCCTGGTAGTTCACGGGTTGTGCGCTCGATCCCTCAGCACAGCCAGCCTCTGTTCCAGAGCTTTGATCTCCTCCAGCACCTCGGGCGTTGGGTCCACTGCCATCCTCTCCTTCGTGTTGGGTCGTTCTCCCGCACGCTTCCCCGGTGAGGACTGGATCGGTCCCCTTTGTGAGGTCGCCGAAGGTGGATACGGCTTCTGCTCCACATCCTCCCTGCTCATCGCCGAGACTGCTTCCCAGGATTGGGATCCCACCGACGGTTCCGTGTAGGGTACCTTTGCGTAGCGCTCGGGGTCCTCCATCAGCTGGCGACGGGTCGGTTGTGACCCTTGGACGTTCTCCGCAATCTTCCTCCGGTACCAGAGAACGAAGCGTTTCAGATCCGGGCTCATGTTCACTCCGTTGGCTTTCTCCTCGCGGTCCGCCCATTCGGCATATTGGCGAGGGATCTGCTTGAACGTGTTCCCTTTGTAACGGCCGATCTCCATCACCGTGTCGTCCGGGGTCTCGTGGTAGTCGCGGATGTGGCGGATCAGCGTCCCTCGCGTTGTCTTCTCCCCGTAGTCCAGGCCGATACGGTCGGCCTCCTTGCGCAGTAGGTCCAGACGCATCCCGGAAAGCCCCTTCGGCATCTTGTCCGACTCCTGGAAGATCTCCTTGTGCTCCCGGATCGCGCTGCGTAGTTCCTCCACTGTCCACCTCGAGGTAGGGTTCAGTCCAAGGCGCGTTGCCTCGGCAAGAAGTTCTGTCTTGTTCATCTGCCATGGTGGCCTGGACGGCATTACCAGGAGGGGCAGGAGGCGAGCGAATTGGTGTAATCGGTCTACGATTGAACACTGTACGGCCGACCCAGAGGCATTGGTGACAAGTCTGGCTCGTCACAGTCCCTTTATCCCAGAGGTCGACAGCCACAGGAAGCCCTCGTTGGGAATGACAGCTCACGCTCGCAGTCTCTCTAATACTACCGAGTACACGAAGTAGGTTGTCACGAAGTAGTGATTGTGAGGTCTTCCATTCTGTAGGGCTGAAAAAGGTCTTTCGGGGGGTCACGTGAACGCGGATCAAGGAACAGCCAGTCTCTACCCAGAAATCTGATGTAATGCCGGTCTGGTTCCACCACTTCACGAAGGACTCTACAGGCAAGTGCTCACTGATAAGGAGGTTCCTGATTTCTGGGGATATCTTCTTGGCGTAGAATATCTGAGGGAATTGTTCACGAGGGACTCGATTATCCACAACAGCATTACTGGCTACGTAGGCTTCGAACAGACCCGCTCCCCCACTGCACTCTGCCATGTATGCTGCCACGCCGGGAACGATCAAAATCTCGCCACGGGCGCACTTGTTGGCGTCCCACATGTTGGGCTGCGCTTCGGCAGGGATCCCCTGTCCTCCAGGGTGAACGCTGATGGCGGGATGACCTGTCGGAGTGGTCATCAGAGGATATCCCTTCACCTGTACAGCCTCGAAGTCCGCTCTGTGCTCCTTGAGATTGTAAACCATTCCGAGCTCGGCTAAAACGGAACGGCTCAGCAGTAGGGGAAGATCACCATGGATGACGGAAACTTTCACCATAATCCAACTATTCCCGACCTTGAAGGAAACCACGACTGCATAGCTGGAGGAATAAACCCTCGAAGCCCCGAACTTGAAGTTGTCACTCTCCTGCAACAAAGGGACCTCAACCTGGAAGGCTTTGAGCACGTCCATGTAACGCTGAAGCCATGCGGTCCCAGTCACGGACTTCGTGCAGGCACTGTCCGCGATAGCCAACAAGTTGTCGCTCAAGATCCCGCTCGTCATGAAGACCTCGTTCGAGATGTTGGCAGTCTGGGTCACAGGTGCTGAGTTATTGTCCTTAGAGGAGGGCTGTGCTGGAGGCTTGCCAGGGCATTCTGGGTCGCGATACCAGTGTCCGCGCTGTTTACAGACACTGCAAAACGACCTCAGCTTGGCATTCTGGATCTTGCTGTCGATGGCGCGTTTCACCTCATCTGGCTCAAGGTTGCGGTTCTTGACCGCATCTCTGTACTGTGCTTTTGCGGTCATGAACGCCTCGTAGAGCTCGGCCTCGTCCTCGTTCGCCGGGGAGGGGATATCAGCATCCTCGTCGAAGCCATCTTCACCTTCGGGTATAGCTTCGGCAGCGTTGGCACTATTCACCTTGGTAGCCGTGCGTCCTCCGCGATCCCAGGGCTTTGGACGCTCGCGTTGATCCCATGGACGACGCAGGCTCTTTTCGTGAAGTACTGCGGCACGCTGAAGCTTGTTGCAGATGAACTCATTGTTCACACTTCCCAGGATGGCCAGCTCCTCAGAGTGCGAGAGTGAGAGAGCGCTGAGGTACGCCCAGGCACGAGCTGTCTCAGGGAGTCTGCATTCGATTTCGACTAGTCTGGCGTAGGACCTGTCGAAAGCCGCATTGAATTCGCGAACTGTTTGAGAAGGGCCACGACGAAGCTTCTTAAAGAAACCATTCAACGCCTCTGCTATCTTGCCCACCTCTATTTCTTGATACCTCTCGGTAATCCAGCTCTTGAACTTTTCGACTCCATCTGGCATAGACAACTCTTTCACATCCAATTCTTCCGCCTCTATCCACGCTCGCCCCTTCAGGCTCTGGTACAGGAGGATCGCTTGCTGGGAGGGTGGAGTACGGGTGACCCGTACCCAAGCATCGATCTGGCGGATGTAACTCCGCGCTGACTGTCCTAGCTCGTCGCCACCACTGTCGGCAGAGAAAGAAGGAACCGACATCCGCTCACTGAGGCCTCCTCGTCGATCTCCGTCGCCAGGACCTTGATCACCTTGAGGACGTACCGGAGGATCACGAAGACGAGCTTGCCATTGGTCCCCTGGGATGGCCGAGTGTTGAAGGTCACCTTCGCGGTAGTACTGGACATTGTTGCCAGCTGTTCTGTTCCACTCAGTCTCCCAAGGGTTATACTCGACGGGAGTGGTAGTAGAGGGTGTCCTGCTCCATTCTGCTTCCCACAATTGGTCGGCCGGGGTAGTCGTCCTCGTCCACTCATGTTCCCAACCGTCCTTCGACGAAGCAGCAGTGGCACCCGACCAAGACTGTCGACGGAAACCAGAATCCCAACCAGTTTCCCAGCCGGTGTTCCAAGAAGTCTCCCATGCTGTTTGGTCGGGCCAGTGCTGGGTCCACTCATGCTTCGTAGGGTCATAGTGAGACCAGGGCTCGGTCTCGGTCCAAGCATGCTTGCTGCTGTCGTACGGCTCGTCGACATCCGGCTCGTAGCTGCCCTGCTCAGCACCATGTTCCCCCACGGTGCCAGAAGGGTTTCCCACTGCATTCTCATCCGAATGCTTGCCTTTTCGCCAAGCGCGACGGGCACCGCCGCCATCTTCACCGTGAACTTCGGCATGATCCACGCCGCCGCGAGGAAGGGAAGCCCGAGCAGCATCTGCCCAGGGATCTAGCGGCTCCGCCGCCTGCTCATCAACGAAGTCTCCATCGCACGGCGCGGAATCCATCAAGGAGCCCACGGGGGCTCCGCTACCAATGTTACACTATGGCGGACAGTTCCGCTTTTTTTCCACACGCTACAGCGAAAACTCGTGAGCCTTCGAGGAGCGAAGCAATGCTTTCAGATGCTCAGCCTTGCAGGAACATCCCTCTCTCTGCGGATCGGCATGCTATACAGACCTGTGCTTGCATCTTCAGATTTACAGTAACCAAAAAAGGGAGAGTATTTCCAAGTGCCCGCAAGAGCAGGTCATGAGTGGGACATGTGGAACCCGGGTCGATCGAGAGCCGACCAACAATGCTGTAAGAGGTTCCATGTGGCTGCTGGCCTCTTATACGGTATTCAAGACTTAGAGATTGAGTGTTCGAGATTCACGACAAGGTCTGCGATTGGAAGGCTGTGGGGACGATGAACTTTAGTGCCCTGTCGTGAGACTCCAGTGCTGTGATATATAAGTGCCACGTCAATCAAAACTGTGCACCGGTCTCTGAAGCATCTGTCTTCAAAAGACTGCAGGCAACGCAGACCGAACTGCGAGGTGCCGCAATGAGGTCTGCGATTTGGCTCCCTACACCCTAAACCGAGCGTTTACCTAGAACCCTACTTCTTCACAGTCTCACAAATCCAAGTCTAACTCTTGAGAGTCAGCATGCCGAAGCAGCCTAAGCCCCCAACTGGCGAACAGCAACCGCACGCCCAAAGTGTTCAAACTACAACCTTCCATAAACCTTTGACCCTATATACCCCCAAAAAGACAAACAGAAAACAAAAAGCTGAAGTCGGACCAGAACACGGGAGGTCGCCGGAAAGTGTCGCGCAAGCCAGACCTCCGATCCCTCGTCGGACCTTCGGAAGCTCACTTTACGCTGGTTTTCGAGGCTTTGGGGCCTAGGGTTTAGAGCTTAGGGTTTAGATGGCTTTTAGGGTTTGGGGCTCAGGGTTTAGAGTTTAGGCTTTTGGGCTCGGTTTCATTGCTGAATGCTTTTTGGTAGGGAGTAAACACTAGCTATACGTGGCTTTATACGGCCTTTTTATAGCTTGATGAGGCTGTAGAAGGCTTCGGGTGCGGGCTCTATCAGGGCTTAATATGGGTATATCACGGCTTACCTCACGTTATGTCAGTGCGATCTGGGCTTTCGGCAGTCAGGAACACACGTTCTAGGCAGTCCATTCCATATGCCATTCACGAATATAGAAACGAGAAGTAGTGCCTCATGAGACTGTACGGGCACGATGCCTCTCCTGTTCTTCGGGTAGCTTGCGCTGTCGTTATACGACTGTTCTTCCTTGGAGCACCATTGCTACGAAAATTACTGTCAAACTTGTTATGACTGCAATACCTCTATCTCAAGCTGGTTCAGGATTTGTCTACGTATCACAAAAGCAGAATGGAGGATTCGAGACCCAAAAGCCTAGCCCCCATTGATTCTACTGGGGCCCTAGGGGTAAGGCAGCACAAGAGGCTTAAGGTGAGATCTGCTGAGACTGAGACCCAACAAGGCTTAGCGCCATTTCGGGTTTGGAGCTTCTTAGGGTTGGGAAGTCAGGCAGGGCTGAGGGCAGAGGATCTCGATGCTTAGAGGATCTCTCTTGAGTAAAACTGGCCTTGGCTGCTGTTTCCAGGGAAGGGAACCTTGGCTGGGGCACAGCCCTGGTCTTGCTGCTGCGAGGGTGTGGGGTCCTCGGGTTTGGGGTGTTGGGGCTTCGGCTCTAGGATTTATAGGGTCTAGGGTCTTTGAGCAACGCTGGCAGAACTCGGTATAGCGCACTCCTTCATGTAAAAAGCGTGGAGGGTGTATAGCGAGTTTGCTATCGTTGATGCTGGCCCTGCTGCTGCTCACAGGGTGCTTGAGTCATCTTGCTTTCGAGTTATGCTGCTCCTGTGCTTTGGGGTTCTATCGCTATGTCGGTTTGGTAGCGCTGTGGTTGTCGTTGCATGCCTTGCTGTTCACGATGTCTGACATTTGCTTGCGTCCGTGGCTGCTGACTACTACCATTCATTAAACATTGTCGTTCTTAAGGCTTTGATGTGAAAAACTACTTCCGGTGAATGCTATAGCTTTCGGTCTACATCTTGGCCCGGTGCATGCAGACATAGAAACACGCATACATACGCAGCGTGCAGACAACAAACAAACAGACAGACCGACATACCGAGAGACCTTCATAGATCTATTCGTGTTCAGAACATTTTTCCAACTTGTGCATGCGTGTACGTATGGACGCATGTATGAATCCAGAGCCCTGTAGGAGTTAATGGCCCCCCCAAGCCCCAACCTAAGGGTTCAGCCTTTGGGGCCATTTTCAGGATCATGGTCGCATCTGCACCAGCAAAACTGTGACTGCTACTGTCTGCCCCGCAAACAAACTTACTGATGACTGATAGCCGTCCTCCTTAGGTAGACAAGGGCATCCAATTTCTCAAAAAACCCATTAAAAAACGAAACCCCCAAGCTCCTGAACCTTGAACCCTAAACCCTAAACCCCAAACCGACCTCGAAACCCCCAAGCCTGTCAAACCGCAACTGTTTAGCCCGGCGGCTTGAAATGGGCCAAGAACTCCTCCACACTTCTCACACGCTCCTGAGGCGAAAAGGAGGAAAAGGCTACACATGCACGGTTTAGGACGTAGGTGTGCGAAGAAGAGTTTCGTGTTTGAGCTGAAGGTTCAGGATGGTGCTTATGCGTTCCAGGACTAAGCGCATGCTTGTGGGTTGCCGCATTGTCCTGATTTGGCTCACAACTGATTGTTACATCACCGCTGGGAAGATCACCTGTCTTGCCATTGTGGACAATGTTGTCTACCTACGTACAAACTTCAGCAAGACATGGCTGGATTGTGAGGCTAGAAGCCTCTTCCCCGGCCTATGTCTCCCAGCACAGAGCCTTCAAAAACTTCTCCGACAAAAGCAGACACCCGCGCATCCTGGGAGCTGGTCCCCCTAAGCGCTAAGTCCTAAGGTTTAAGTGCCGCAAATCATGACCATCCCAAACTTCCCCAAACCCGCAACCCCCTCAAAGCTCTACATCCTACACCTGAATGCCCTATCTTGCCGATACTCCTAAACCCCTAAAAGGTAAATGCCAAATCGTAGATATCGTGTAAATCCAACCCAGCTAGAACTGCGAATCCCAACACTAGAACCCCCGTACGAGACCCTAAGGTACCTTGCCAGACCTATACACACCCGTTATCGGAACAAGCGCATACAACCCCTAAAACAACCCGTGGCAACCCTGCCAGACCCCTTCAGCAATCTTACCAAAACCCTATGAAACCCTCATAAAACCCGAAGATCCTCTTAGACCCCTTTCGAGAGGCCCTAAACCCTAAGCCCTGCGAGCCGGATCTCCTCGGCCCCAGTTAGGTCCTCTCGGCGCGAAGCTAGCACACGGAAGAGATCCTTGGCGTCTCTTTTTGAGGAATCTATGTTTAAGCTACCAGAGCACAAAAACCATATCATGCATTGTAGATCCCTATAGTATGGTAACTTCAAGGAAGTTTATAAAAAAAAAAAGAGTTGTACCATAATAAATTACGTTTTCCTTAGTTTCCTTAGTTATGACAACTTAAAAAACAAGTAAAGTTTCCTTAACAAGAACCAAGGATCCAGGTCCTTGGGCGACTCTGAGAGCTCTCGCAGCCTGAGCTTTGGAGCGTCTGAGGGCTTACCTCTAGTCTCCGTTCCTTTCTGGGGCTACCTTTTAGGATCCTTNNCCAAAAAAAGGAACTACAGTGGAGATTTTAGGTAGGGTTTAGGGTTTAGGGTCTTTGCACGGTCTGGTTTTGAGATACGTAACCATCTAATGTAGGGGCCTTAATGATTGGAATAGGGTTTGGGGGCCCATTATACTATAAATCTAATAAAGAACCACCAAAATAGTAATCATAGGTAGTTATTCAGGCCCCTATATTATCCATCTGTGTATCTGTGCATCTCTAGAAGATGGTTTATGTATACAGGGACGATAACGGGACACTGCCACAAATGATTCGGGCCTCTGCCTTGTAGTTTGGGGCGTGGAGGCCTGCTTTGTGAGATCGATGTTTGGTCTGTTGGACCCTTGGAGTGGTCGCACAATTGCGAACTGAGAGAGGTTTAGGGTTGAGACTTTGGGGATTTTGGGTTTTTGGGCTTAGAGCTTTGAGTTGAGAGTTTGGGGACTTGGGGTTTTGGCTTTAGGTGGGGTTAGAGTTCAAGGTTTAAGTGTAGCCTGTCGGCTTGAGCAAGCATGCTGAATATAGCAGCCGGAAGAAGTAAGGCAAGCTGTTGCGGTATAGTCTTGTCGGCCTTTTCAGAACTGTAAGGGGCTTTATTTATCTAGTACCTAAGATTTGTTCGTAAGGAACCCCGCGAAATCTTTAGAGATTTAGGTTTGAGGGCCGGGTCGAAGATCAGGCCTTTCAAGGGGCTAGGGTTCGGTGGAGTTGTCCGGAGGTGTCGCCTTCCTCGCTCCGAGGCTCAAGGCTGTAGGTTTAGGGTTCTAGGGCTTAGGATTCGGGGTTTAGGGATGTAGACGAAGTTGAAACTTATTCGTGACTTTCTGGATCCGGTGCAAAAACGACGAAACGAAGATCAATTCCTCACCTTGCATGTGAGAAGCCCAAACCCTGATCCCTAAAGCCAAATCCCCGAGCTTAGGGCTCGGAGACTCTGCAGCGGAAGTTGGTGCCGCGGCACTTCAGGTCGAGGGCAGCACGGCACATCTCGCCAACCGATTCTCTGTCTGACTCGAGCGTGAACCTGGATTCCGGGGTACGGACAAAAAAAGACTTTTCAAACTAGGGCACAGGATTTTTCAGGTTCCTACTATTTCGTCTACTAAATTACTACGGTAAGGGGTACAGTTACAGCCCTACGGTTAAGTGCCCCTGAACCCTCGACCTTCTCGTCCTGGGCACTGCGAATCCTGACCTCTAAATGCGCAAAGTGCCAAAGTCGTCGTCGCCGCAGTCGTCGTCGTCGGCTCATCGTCGCGGTCGTTGTCGCCAGAGGGCAGGAAACA